GGCGGGCCAATTCGAAGTTGAGGCCCAGCGGCCCCTCTCACTTTTGATACACATCTCGAAGCCACACACAGCGAATTCGACCACTGTACTTTTCTCGCTCGTGTGGGGGGGATCCTGCAGCCAGCTGTTCGCCCCCCCCTCCCCCCCCCCGCCGCCGCATCTCGCTCTTGGGGGCGCAGCAAAGCGGAAAAACTGCTAGTCCTTCTCGCGCCCCACCTCGAGCCAGCGAGTGTCGGGCAGCAAGGCTTCGCCTCGATGGGCCTCGCGATATGCTTTTGCTCCTCGTCCTGCAACCAACCTCCTCGTCAGCATATCTCTTGTCCCTTTAGCGGCCTTCGGGCCTTCCCCCACCCCCCCCCCCCCCCCCCCCCTCCCCCCTCTCCCCCGCGAGAGCGCCCAGCAAGGAGAACTCACCCCAGCCATCCGTCGTGACGCGCAAGTCCCACGGCAGCGAGTTGCGGAAGATGCCCTGCAGGCCCGAGCCGTCGGGCGGACACCAGTTCAAGAGATCGGCCATCTCGGGCGCAGAGGTGAAGTAGGGGTGGAAGCGCCGCGTGGGGTTGCGGTGCCGCCGCTTCTCCTGCACACGCACGAAGGAGGCTAGGTGTTAGAGGGGGAGCCGGGGGGGGGGGGGGGGGGGGGGGGGGGGGGGGAGAGAGGGAGAGGGGACGCACGAGAAGAAGACCGTGGCACCCATACATGTCGCGCTCGAACATCGGGAACGTCTTGAGCTTCTGCTCGGGGGCGATCGCAGGCCCGAATCAGCGTGTGCGCAAAGCGTGCGGCCAGGACCGGGGGGGGGGGGTGTTGGCAGCACTCACCTCTCCCTCATACTCCAGCTTCACGTCGCCCTCATCGTCAATGCCGATGTAATGGAAGCGCTTCTGTCCTCTAACAAAAGCCTTTACAGGCCATCGCAGCGCCTTTGCATGCAGCTCCTCGAAGCGCGACTTCTTCATGCCGTACCCGACGACGCTGATGCGCAGCGGATAGCGCCCCGTATACTCGCGAAAGCGCGCCACGGAAAAGAGGAGATTCTCAAACGAGTCGAGCGCATGGTTCTCCGTCGTCATGCGCACGCCATGCAGGCCCGCAGCCGTCGTCGCCACGCCCGCGTTCGACGCGGCTTGCTGCCCCACCACGCCGACGCCGAGAATGTCGGCGGCGTCGGCGACGATGGCGCCTTTGCCTTTGCTGCCTTTGCCTGACGTCTTTGGCGCTACCACTGCGCCGGCAGCGGCGTGCGAGTAGTCGTAGCCCGGCAGCACGGGCAGCTTCATCCCCGACGCCGCGGCGAGGGCAAAGTAGGACTCGGCCTCCGTCTGCAGCGCCGTGGCGCGCGTGGCGCCGCCGGAAAAGACGAGCAGCGCCGTCGGGTCGGCATCGGCGATTTCGACGCTGAGTTGTTGGAGAGAGAGAGAGAGAGAGAGAGAGAGAGAGAGGAACGAGG